CTGCTTCCTTATCCTTTATCTGTTATTGATCTTTCTTCCAATGTGCTTCATTGCTTAATCAGTATTTATCAATTGGCTTTTTTCCTCTTCCCTCTTCTTCCTTGGTGCCTCCTCTTTTTAAAGTATTTTTATTTTATTTTTATTTTTAAGTCAGAGACCACATTTGTTTGCTTCTGTTCTCTCTGGCTTAGTAATCAGAGCCCAGGATTATACACTTCCCTCTGAGGACCACAACAGTCGTATCCTGTTGATTTCAATAAATGGGTATTTTTACTTAGGTTTTAGAGATACTTGATCATTTAAATTTTTTTTCTCTTTGAGTCTTTATTTTGGAGATTTCTGATTTCTGGTTGGAAGTGGAGTATCTGTCCCTGGATTGATGAATTTCAATTATAGGTCATCAATGCAGCCTGAGCTGCTGCAATTGTCCAAACAGTATCGAGTGTTCCTGTTCTCGCTGAAATGGAGCCACTTTGTCATTCTTCACAAGTACTTGAGGGGCATTTGGGTGTGGAGCCGTGAGGTCTTTGTTCCCACCTGACCACATTTAGGGTTTTAATTTGTTTGACATCAAGAGAGCAGTTCACCTCCCTTCTGTGTTTGTTGTTCTCTGAGTGTTCCCCGGGCTCCTGCTTATTTGTTTGTACACTGGGTTGTCAGCACATGAAACTTGGGTCAGTGGGGCTTTGTGAGTCAAGCCCATCCCCTGCAAAATCCATCACCTCTATTCCAGTGAGCAGTTGCCTCTAAAAAGTCAGACTTATAGCCTTGGCTGGCGTTTCTCAGTAGTTAGAGCACTGGCCTGCACACCAAAGGGTTGTGGGTTTGATTCCTGGTCAAGGTCTCATACCTACATTGCTGGTTCCATCCCTGTCCCCTGTTGGGGTGCATTCAGGAGGCAACCAATCAATGTGTCTCTCTCACGCTAATGTTTCTCTCCCTCCCTCCCTCCCCTTTCTTTCCTCCCTTCACTCTTTCTAAAAATCAATGGGAAAAAATATTCTTGGGTGATGATTTAAAAAAAAAGTCAGACTTTTAGATGAATATTACAACTCCACCTTTTGGTTTCATGCTTTGGTCCATCTTTGTGCGGCTGATTCTCTCTCGTGTTTGGATCTGCTTGTTCCAGAATGTCTTCTGTAGGTGCTGTGGCTTTAGTTTTCAAGAAATTAATTGTGAGGCTTACATTTTCAGCCCTTCCTCATACTTTCAGGTTTGGTTTTCCTGTCTTTCAACCTCCTCTTGTAATTGCATATATGTGTCTGGCATGTGTTTTCTAGAATTGGTTTTGAAAGGTCTGTGCTGGTTTGCAGCTCACTGGTAGTCATTTTCATGGCTTTAAAGAACATGTTGAAACCTCCCATTTCTGGCTTTTCACCCATAGAAGTTAAGTCACATGTCCCTCCTGAAGGAAAGTGGAGGAATGAGCCTCTGCATCTTCTCCCCACACTGGTATTCCATATAGCAGCAGTTGCCAACCGGTGGTCCACGGAGGTACGTGAGGTACGAAAAGTTGGCGACCGCTGCCATATAATAAAAACCTAATATGCTAAGTGCCCAACCTGTTAGACCTGTTGCTATGATGCACACTGACCACCAGGGAGCATACGCTCCAACCAGTATGTCAGCTTGCTGCTGGGGTCCGACTGATCAGGACTGGGCAAGATGGGCTGGACATGCCCTGGGGCCCTCCTGTGGTCCCTCCCTGGCCCCAATCGTGCTGGTGGGGTCCCTTGCTCTGGCCTGTGCCCTTTCTCAATGCAGGGCCCCTCAGGGGATGGATGTCAGAGAGCCGGTTTCAGCCCAATCCCAGCAGTCTAGGCTGAGGACTCCAATGGTGCACAAATCCATGCACTGGGTCTCTTGTATAGTATAAATAAATCAACACTTCTTTTTTTTTTTTTTTAAATATATTTTATTGATTTTTCACAGAGAGCCAGGTACATGCCCCTGACCGGAATCGAACCCGGGACCCTTCAGCCCGCAGGCCGACACTCTATCCACTGAGCCAAACCAGTTTCGGCAACAATTCTTAAAACTATATATTTTATTGATTTCTTACAGAGAGGAAGGGAGAAGGATAGAGAACTAGAAACATTGATGAGAGAGAAACATCGATCGGCTGCCTCCTGCCCACTCCCTACTGGGGATTTGCCCGCAACCAAGTTACATGCCCTTGACCGGAATCAAACCTGGGATCCTTGAGTCCGCAGGCCGGCGCTCTGTCCACTGAGCCAAACCGGGTAGGGCAAATCAACACTTTTTAAAACATTGTTTTCTCTTCATTAATGAGTTATATATATTTGTATCCTGCTCTGAAACATATGTCCTTGTATCGACTCTGCTGCTTATTATGAGACCTTAAGCAAATGACTAATCTTCTTTGTGCCTCAGTTTCTCATCTGTCAAATTGGGATATTAGCAGCCACTGCAAGGATCCTGTGGGATAAACCATGAGAACTGTCCGGAGCAGTGTGGCACCTGAAGGCCCCTGGTCCAGTCTTGTTGATTCTATGGTGTCTTCACTTCAGGGCTAATGGGATGGGATTACCTTCCCCAGCCCCACTCATGATATCCTCCTGATTCCCACATTCGTGTTTGGCCCCTCCCAGTCTGGAGTGTGTCTTAAGGGATGATTTCTAGCAAAGGAACATGGTGATGTTTGCCTTGCACAGGACAGTTGGGAGTAGAATTCTTCAGCCACCTGCCTTCCCACCTCCACCTCCTCCTGTATCTTTTGTCTGCCCGTGACATTCAGTGAATGCATATGTTCATCTTAACCTTCTGTGCTTTTTCATTCATTTTGGGGGGTTGCCAGTGAGCCCTTGTGGTCTCCAGCTTAGAAATGCTTGGCCAACTATGTCTTTCACTCTAGTTTTGGGGTGATATGCATGTTATAGAAAGAATTTCCTGATTAGAGGAAGGGAGAAATCCAATGTCTCCTGTGAACCAATCAGGTGCAAACCTCTCAGTAACACACTTGGAAGTAGTAGTATACTTCTGCAGGAATAACTCCGTTTGTGTTTTTCATATATATTTTTATTGATTTCAGAGAGGAAGGGAGAGGAAGATAGAAACATCAATGATGAGAGAGAATCATTGATCGGCTGCCTCCTGCACGCCCCCTACTGGGGGTCAAGCCCACAACCCAGGCATGTGCCCTGACCTGGTTCATAGGTCAGTGCTCAACCACTGAGCTACACTGGCCGGGCTAGTATGTTTTAGTTAGAATACAAATAAGGGATGGGTTATTAAAATGCATAATCGGGGGTGAGGAACTAATAACTATTAATGGAAGTAGTGAGGGTGGAAGGGTCTGTCCCTATTTTTGTCATTTATAGAAGAGGATATGGGGACTGGGACTTTTTCCAGAAAGGGCAGAGCAGCACCCTGTTGTCTCTGCCAGGCACTTGTGGGGCCCATGTCTTCACCACTGCCAGGCCTTAAGGAGTGGGAGCTGCTCCATAGGGTGAGTGGCCAACAGGCAAGTGCACATAGAGGGAAACTGAGGCTCCAGGGTTGCTGGCACTTTACCCAAGGTCACCCCTGCCTCACTGGCTGCTCTGCTCTCCTTCCCAGAGCCCAAGTGGGAGTCTAGGACCTCCTGGTATAGATACCTCAAACCTGGCAGACCACAGAATGGATTCCTGGAGACCACAGGAGCCCCTTACTAGTCCCCCACCTACTGAGGCAGCCCCTCAGCCCCCAGCCCCACCCCCACTGTAATCATGTTGGGAATTTTTTATTAGGAAACAAAATCGAATTGGGGTGTATGAATATTCATTAGGGTGGGAGATTAATATGCATAATCATGAAAATTAGACAGCAATTAAACACCAGTTCTCTGGGGGAAGTGATTAACACAATGCCACCGAAATAGAAGGATACAATTTGAAGGAAGCAGTGGAGGGCAGGAGGTGGGATGCAGGATTTGGAATGGAGTGCATGAGAAACTTCAACATGTGGGATTGGAGTAGATTGGGAGTGGGGTTGTGCTGGTACAGGTGGCTCCCTCCTCCCGTGTCCCCCTCCCCCCTTGCCTAATTCTGCCAAGTGGACTTATTCATTATACCATTTACAGAGGAGGGGAACTGAGGCACAGAGAGGGAAGGGCCTGGGACTGCTCCCCTTCTACTTGTCCAGGACATATGTTCTGATCCCTGAGGGATGGAGAAGGATGCAGGCCTAGGCTTCTCGCCCCGTGGGGAAGATTCTGGGTCCTGGGTGGGTGCCTACTGCCTAGGAGAGTGTCCGGGAAGATAAGGGCTCCACCCTGCCCTGCCCCTTGAGACCAAGGTCCTCTCCCCACTCTCATTAACCCGGCTACACCTTGGACCTCTGGCCTCCCAGCCTGGCGGGCAAGTGGCAGGAGCCTCTGTGGTTGTCCCTAACGGGGATTGGGTTCTACCCCAGAAGGGCTGCCGGTCTGCTTAGTGGGTAGTCACGCAGACAGCTGCTGCTGTTTCAACAAAGGGATGGCCTACCTCCTGAATTAGCAGGGATGGGCAAGGGGAGATTCACACTTTCCCAAGATTCAAGCTAATTAATTACTCATGATCCATTTGCTTATGCCTTTGTGAGCCTTTCTCTGAGCCTGACACAGAAGCCCCAGCCAGTGTGATCAGGGCTGGGGGAAGGATACTCAGTGTGAGTGAGGGCTCTGCCCAGGGTAGGCATGGTATATAGAGTTTTGATGAATGGATAGGAGTTTACCAGCAGTGACAGCTGGTGGAATTGTTTATTGAGCTGCAGACCTGGGAATATGCCAAGTGCCAGGGTGTCTTGGGCACTGTACCACTGACAGTGGTTTCAGTACAGGCAGAACTAGAGTTGGGTGAGGTTGGATAGGCTACAGGGCTAGTCTGGATTGGGATGGGCCCAGAAGGCATGCCAAATTGAATGAGGGCTCCTCTCCCGTGAGGTGATGAGGAAGAGAGCTAGAACTGACTTTAGAGTGGGCCAGGAGTAAGGGTGACCCTCTCTCTCTTCCTGTCCTGCAGGTCTGGAGGACCGGCCCAGCTCAGGCTCTTGGGGCACTGGCGACCAGAACAGCTCCTCCTTCGACCCCAGCCGGGTGAGGAGCTACTGCCGGGCCTGAGACCCTCAGTTTCCCTTTTCCAGGAGAGAGGGACATAAGAGGAAACTGAGGCTTAGAGGGGGAAGTTGGACACCAACCTAGTCTGCAGGGACTTTGGGCTTAGATATGTGGGTTAGAGTCATGACTCGGGTACTTAAAAGCATGCCTGCCTCCCAAGCCTGTTTCCCTAGCTGTAAAACGTTGTCCCCCAACACCCCTCATCCCCTCCTCCCCTCCTCCCCTCCTCCCTCTCTGCAGACCTACGGCGAAAGTGCCCACTTCAGTGAGTCCCATGGCAGCCTCTCTTCATCTACATTCCTGGGAGCGGGACTTGGAGGTGAGTGTCTTTGGAGCACAGCCCTTCCCCCACACCCACATGGGGTCCCTGGGGTGTGATCAGTGCACTCAGTAGCAACACTTCTGGTATGTTCACCTGGAGCAGAGGGTGCAGGTGGATGTGGCCTAGACATAAAGCTCTCCCCCGGGGTCAGTGGGCCTGACCAAGTCCCCACCAGGAAGTGGACTTGGGCATCCTGGTGACTCAGAAGATCGGAGCCTGCTCTTACTGACCATGGGAATCGGCTCAGCAGGCCTGTGCTCAAGTTCCACTCACTAGGCTTGGTTGAGGCTGTCTCCTCTTTAGACTCGGCTTCCCCACCCATAGGATAGGGATGTTCACAGAACCTTCCTCGTAGTGGATTATGAGGCTTTGCCCAACATTCCAGGTCCCATGGGCACACACAGACACACCTGACTCCTTCTCTTGCAGATAAGCAAACAGGACTAGCAAGAAGGGACTGTCCAGGGTCTGTGGCTGGTCATGGCTGGCCCGGATTCTGTCCACTGGGACTGTTGGCCTGGACTGTTGTCCTCTGTGCCATCCTTCCCACCAGGGGACCATCCAGGTGCCTTGCTGAGCCCTGGCACCCCCTTTCCTGTTCTGAGGAAGCCTTGGGCTGACTCTAAAGCTGGCTTCGTTGGGAGGGTTGGGTGCTGTTGCCCTGCGTCAGCTCCCAATTCAGCCTGGGCTATAAGTGGGGTTTTGGTTCACTGCCTAAGAGATCCTAAGACAGCATCTTTCACACAAAAGTTGGGTGGGATCTGCTCATCTCAGCGCCACTGTTAGCAGTTTATAGTCTAACGTGGCGCTGGGGGAGTAAATGTGTGGGCTGTGGAACCTTTGATGTGACTGACCATTTGGTGGGGAAACTGAGCCCAGAGGCACTTGTACGAATCCTGAGGGGACAGCACTTGCCAGACCCCAAAGGTCCCGTGTCCCTTACTGAGTCTGAGAGGGTGCACAGTAGGGCTGGACAGGCGAGTGTGGCCTGAGAAGAATCGTGGCAGGGGCAGCATCCTTGCACTCTCTTTGCAGCAAGAGTCTGCACCCATTTCCCAGACCAGGAAGTAAGGCCCAGCCCACGTGGCCCAGGGTAGCCTCTGCACCTGCAGCTGTTCCCCTCTGGTGTTCCTTCCGCCTCTTCCTGGCCCAGGCAGTTCCCACGCTGAGCCTGGTCAGCAGAACCCAGAGGCAGCTGTGTCCCAGGCCCACCATATGTCCTGTGCTCAGTGAGTGCAGCATAAAGCTCAGGCCGGGCCCAGTGGGGAGGTGCGTGCAGCCTTGGCATCCCTGGGCCTGTTTCTCACCCCTGGACTAGGCTGCATGGGGCTGGTGTGGCTCGCAGGCCTGGTGACAGCCATTGTGGGTGGTGGGGCCCTGCTCCCGCTCCCGCTCCCCAAGGGGTGGGTTTAGTCTGTTCTTACATGGCCTCCAGCCCAGTCTGGCCCCTGATGAGACCGTGGTGGTTTTATTCTCTGCTGTTTGTCCTTTTCCTACCCTTATGCCCTGATATGCAGGTCCAGCACATAGATTAGGTGCCTGATGTATGCCCATGGGTCTTCTCCCAGAGCCTCAGCTTCACCCCATCTCTTTGGAAACCTACATTTGGCACCTGCTCTGTGCAGAGCCTAAACAGTGGCAGCCCCGACTAGCAGGGAAAGTCAAAGGTCTGGGAGGTGAAGCTGCTTCCCCAGGCAGAGCCCAAAACCCTGACTGGGCCTGCCAGCTTTGCTCCCACACCCACCCTGAGAGGAAGGAAGCAATAATGTGCCCCCTCACCCCTGCACTGAGGGTGGGCCTCCTCTAATCTCCAGGTCATGTTTTGCTTATCCCTAAAATGACCCAAGGTCACCTGCCCTGAGGGGTCACTGGATGTGTGGTGGGAGCATGACCTTCCCTCCCCCCCGCCCCCCTCCCCGCCACAGCATCCTTTGCTCTAGTCAAAATTCTACTTTTAAAATAAAGAAAATGAGATTTATTTTTTTTTCCCTACTAGGGGAGAATAATTCAAATTAGCTAGCTGAGCATTCTAATTCCTCACTCATGCTGAGTTTGGCACCCAGGTTAAGCCAAAAACACATTTAATGTGTCCGCTATTGATTGATTCAGGTACCTGTTTCAGGCAAGGATAGATCTAAGCCTCTGTGCAGTGGCAAGAGTGTCCACACTGGTGGCTGTCAGGCAGACAGTGTCCCCACAGCCCAAGGTGTCACTTGCCTACACAGGAGAAGGGCTTTCTCACCAAATTACTTCAGTCAACGTTCCCAGGACTTCATGAACTAACCCCTGGCAGGGCCTGGGCACTAAACCTCACAGACTCAAAGCACTACCACCACCACCCCCAGCCCCAGCCTGCCCCTGGGATCCCAGCACCCTGGGGAATTTTATTCTCAATACCTTGAACAAAGGAAATAAGATTCAGAGGTCAGGGGATTCTGACCTCGGCACCGACCCACCTCAGAGACTTGGTGTGTGTATGGACTTGCACGAGCCCCTCTGGGTCATCAGGAAAGGAATGGTGTCTATCCAGATCCCTGCTTGTCTGCCAAGCCATGGGAAGACCAGCATCCCACCTCGGTTCTCCCAGTGATGTGCACGTGTGGGACCACTGCTGTGTGCAGGCATGTGCGGGTGCTTGGGACCTGACCTCCCCTGGGGTTGGCTCTGAGTGACCCTTTTTCCTCCCCTCCAGGCAAGGGTGGCGAGCGGAGCACATACACTGCCTTCGGGAGAGATGCAAGTGTTGGGGGCTTGACTCAGGTGAGGTCGTGTCTGTAGGGTGGGGGCTGCTGGAGCCCATTGGCACTCAGCTGTCTGCAGAACCCAGAGAATTGGATGGGTGGGACCCCAATTTTCAGACTGAAGTGGCATCGTAGATGGGCAGGGACTGCCAGAGAGGGAGGGAAGCTAGTGGAGGCTCCAGTCACCGCTCCACCCACCCCTTTCCCACCCATCTTTTAAAATTTTAAACAGATTGGTAGCAATTTCCTCCCCTGATCTGCAGAAGGGCCCCTGGCTGACCCAACTGCTGGTCATTTTTTCAGCAGCTGAAATAGGAGTGGGCCCTGGGGGCCGGCTGAGCTGGCCAGAGCGGATGAATGGAGGGGGAGGCAGCGGAGCCCACAGCCCTCTGGCTCCCCAAAGACACCAGGCCAGCCCAGCAGCCTTGGGATACTGCCCTTTATTCCTCCCAGGGAGCCAACCCCACAAGCCCCCAGCCCTGGGTGAAACTCATGCCCACCCCAGCTGTGAGGCTGACAGCACTGGCTGGCCACAGTGGTCCCTTGTGGCTTTCTGTCCAGGTCACCCCACACACACCTGAGGGTTTCATTCCTGTCCCCTCCTGTGCCTCTGAATCTGAGTGCAGCCATGCCTTATCACAGGTGGCAACTCTTGTGTGCACGCCAAGCCTGTTCCAAGGTGGCAGCAACCCTGGCTTTTGAGCACCAACTGGGCACCAGGCCCTGTGCCAAGGGCAGAGCTCAGAAGGCCCCCCATTGATCTCCACGACTCCCCCTGAGCCAATATGCCTATTTTACGGATGGGAAATACCAGACATAGAGCAGCCACTCAGATGGAGCCTCAAATCCCAGTCACTCATACTCCCAAGGGAAGAAAACTCATTTTAAACTAATCATGCAAAGTTAAACTGTCTACCTTAAAAAAAAAGAAGAAGAAAAGAAAAGAAAACAAGACATGCACAAACTAAATCAGCCAGATTTCACTGATGCCCAGGCACACGTCTGTACATTCTGCATCCCAGAATGCAGTTCCTTTTCAGACTTGCTGGCAATTGTTTTTCTTAAAAGTAATGCTGAGGTGTTAGGAGAGAAATGTCTCAAGCAGGGGTCATTGTCACCCCCTGGACAGCCAGGCTGGGTGCTGGATGCCAGCCTCGCCCCTGGTGATGACCTCCACCCCCCCTTCCCAGGCTGGCTTCCTGCCCAGTGAGCTGGCCCTCAGCAGCCCCGGGCCACTGTCCCCCTCAGGCGTCAAGAGTGGATCCCAATATTACTCTTCCTACCCCAGCCATGCTCGGCGGAGAGCTGCGGACAGCAGCCTTGGTGAGTGGGGCTGCTGGTAGACCCAGGGGTGGGGACAGGGAGGGGATCTGTCCCCACTGTGGGCCTCCCAGACTAGGAGATCAGACGGGTAGAAGGATGGATAGTGACCCAAGAAAGAAACAGTGGATTCTTGTTATTTACAGAGGTTCTGTCTTACCAAGTCACCGTGAACACTGATTCTCTGTTTCTGGGGAAATGCGAGGATATGTTCCTGTCAGTCTCTGGTCAACAGATCAACACATAGCCTTGTGCCACGTGTATTTTTGGCTAAAGGCACCTTATTTCACATAAATTATTGATTCCATAACACGGAACTGGCCAGCGGTGCTGTAACTCAAGCCTGAATGTAGCTAATTTAACACATATTTTTCTTTTAAACATTTTTACTGATTTCAGAGAGGGAGGGAGAGATAGAAACATTACTGACAAGGGAGAATCATTGCTAGGCTACCCACTACACGCCCCCCACTGGGGATCGAGCCCACAGCCCAGGTATATGCCCTGACCGGGAATCAAACCGTGGCCTCCTGGTTCATAGGTCAATGCTCAACCACTGGCTGGGCTAACACATTTTTCATGTCCCAGTTTTTGCGCTCAGAGACACTAACCAGCACCAGGACACCACACATGCATGGGGAGTGTTTTAAGCAGCAAAACCGCCCACAAAAAGCATGTAAGTCAGGGCTCTCAATAGCCTAAGAAAAGGACTCTGGTTTGTAGTCTGTCCAGGAAGACAGAACACCATCTGGTTCCCCCTCATTGATACATGCCAGGTAGCCACCCATATTTCCCCACTCTGCATGGCTGTGAGTGACCCTAATACACTGTGTGTATGATTTGGGGAAACTAACTTCAGCAGATTTGCAATTCTTGGATCTGTGAATAAAGAGGATCGACTATGGGAGTTGGAGTGGGGGTGATATGGGGGGCCTTGGAGCAAGGCCCTGGCTCAAGTACCCATTGACTCCCCACTTAGACTCCCTGCTGCAGACCTCTCCCACCCATGATTCTTGCATATTAGTCGCTTGCATGTAGACCCAAGCCCTTATTTAAATTAAAAAGGAAGCTCAAGCCGTAGCTTGTTTGGCTCAGTGGTTAGAGCATTGGCATGTGGACTGAAGGGTCTCAGATTTTATTCCAGTCAAGGGCATGTACCTTGGTTGCAGGCTCACTTTTCGGCCCATGTT